CCCCAAAACCCCAAAACCCCAAAACCCCAAAACCCCAAAACCCCAAAACCCCTCATCATATTTTCCAGTTGAACCAACATTGTAATATAATCTCTAAAAATTCCAAAACCAGACCACCCTCTGTTAAACTACTTTAATCCACCACGAACAAAAACCATTCAAAGTTCTAGTAACAATTATTGATCTGCTCTTCCAGACAATATTTTCTTCTGTTCAGGGGGATCAATGCATTCATAAATGACCTTAAACGAATGGAGAGGTAGCCAACTAGCAACGGTCAGGGCAAAGATCTTCCATAAGAATGTGCCATCAATATAACTTGTGTTAAAGTACTCCCTGAAGGTATAGATAGTCACTATGTATATAGCCAAGGTTAATAGACTTGCTACAGCCATCTTCCAGTTGAACCTATTCACTACTGAGTACACATTGAGTAGCTCCACAATGATTAAAGCACTAAAAGTGATGGTCACCAGGTTCGCAAACGAGTCGTTGAAAAGGGCAATGCATCAAAACATAATAAAACCTCCTTGGAAAATACTCTTCCAGACCCAGATCAGGAAAGTCTTTAACGACAGAGATCTTCCCTTCTGCAAAGTCTTGTATAGCGGTGGATAGTCGAGAGCTTGCTGCACTCCAGTATCCTTATCAAGCACTATTGAGAATACAGGCATTGATGTGTACACAGTCGCATATCCAAGCATCAAGTATCCATTGTATATCGGAATGGATACATAGTAAAAGACTAGAGAGAATACTGCTTGCATGACAGAAATGATCAAACCTCTATGTATGACAAACTGCGATAAGAGAGCAGACCTTTTGTATGAGAGTCTTCCATGCCATAAGATGAGTCTCTTTAAGAAAGAAAACTGGTTTATTGAGAAATCTCCTGCTAAGGAAGCTTGTTTTCCTTCTTTACCAACAATTCCGATACCAACATTAGATTCAAGGATCATGCCAACATCATTGCCTCCATCTCCCACACAGGCTACTCTTTTGCCTGTATATTTCCTGACTTTCTGAGTGATTAAGGCTTTCTGGGTTGGAGAGCATCTACAGACACATACAACTGGGGCTCTACAGGCAATATCGAAGAAAGTCTCCTCAGTTTTCTTGTTGCTCATACAGACATCAAGAGTGCTTCCATCGATCATAAAGCATGAGTTTTCTACATTCCTTTCTAGTTCTTTCAGTCTGTACTCAACCTCGTTAAGATTATCGATCTCTTTCATAAAGAAATGAGGTTGCGAACGACTCTTGAGCCCAGTTGAGATACTAATACATGTTGCTGTTTCTACTTTATCACCAGTCAGCATCCAAATTTGGATACCTGCTCCTCTCAAACTTCCTATGGTCTTCTCGACATCATCTTGGAGCTTGTCCTCAACACCTGTGACTCCGAGGCACTCAAGGTTGGATTCCAGTTGGTTTCTGACCTTTTCAGCTAAGATTTCTCCTCTATCATAATCATTGAGTGCCTTTTTATACTCATTGTTCCAGACTTCATACTCATTAGGAGACATAACTTTCTGGGCTATAACAAGAGTTCTGAGTCCTTCCATTGCAAGAATCTCTCATTTTTCCAAAAGATCTGATCTCTGCTGAGGCTTGACTCTGTCCTTCATGACTACCTCTGCTCCTTTACAGAAGAACAAGATGAGACCGTTCTTCTTGTACCTGACGATGATGCCCATTCTCTTAGTATCACTGGAGAATGGGAAGCATTCCAAGATCTCAAATTCCTCTATAGTGTCTATCTTGTTCTTAATGACGATTTCTCTTTGATCCCTCTTCTCAAGAGAGTAGCCTAAGATTTCGACAAACTTTACAAGTGCAACCTCGTCAGGTGAGGAAGCCTGCAGCTCACGCTCCCCTTCGTTGTTAAGTACAGGTGTGACATTATGGCAAACTGCTAGAGCTGTTACTAAGTCTCTGATCGAGTAGTTCAAGTCCCTTCTCTTCTTCCTTTTGATGGAGTTAGAAGTTCCTGGTGCCATGCTGTCACGAACATTTGACTCGTTTTCATAGGAATAGAGAGTCCGGTAGAGATCATTTGCAGGAGAATCTTCCTCTCTACAGTTCTTCTCAATAATGTTTCTGATATCGCCAATGTCATCAACAGTGAATGTAGAGAACTCTGTAGCCAATTTCTTGAAGTCCATCTCATTTTTGGTCAAAGTGCCTGTCTTATCACTAAGGAGATACTGGATCCTTCCTAGCTCTTCTGGGATAGTACTGTTCCTAGGAATTGTTCCTTCAATCGCATCATCACGAGAGATGCCCCAAGAGTAGTATATTTTTGCCATATCCAGATTCACTCTCAGACTGATTGGGATAATACTTGAGAGTAGCAGGACAAATCTAAACAAGTATATATACCAGTTTGACTGGAAGCCATTAGATATCACTATGGTAAATGCTAATAAAACCATCAACACGAATAGAAGCTTCGACAAGAAGTTCAGCTCTAAGTCTAGCAAACCAATCTTTGAGTTAGGATTTTTGGAATTCATCTGAGCTCTTGTCTCTTTTCCGGTGTAAATCACCAATCCAATAATATGCCCACTTGAAGCAAGGACTGTATTAGACCATAGAGTGTTTTCTAGGGTTAGTCTCTCATCAAACTCAGTGTCATTGTCTGTATCCTTACAGAACTTTCCTTTAAAATTGTAAATGAGAGCACTAGGAGGTTCTGCGATGATCTTTGACTCGCTCATATCCATAAGATTACCCTCTTGTTGATGAAATTCTTGGGTAAAACCGATAGATTTCCTTAATTTCCAGTCAGTCTCTCCATCTAGCTGATCTGTTCTAATAAAAATATTTGAATTCTCATGCTCAGTGGTATACAAAAGAACCATATCTGCTGGGATTCTTTCGTTCTGGTTAACTTTAATCATATCACCGACCTTGATTCTTTCGCTACGAGTGAATCCAAACTCTCCATTTTCTTGCAACTTCTCGTACTGTTTCTCATTGATTTCCTTATCTCTTCTGTATCTCTGAATGTCGTCCCAGGCTTCCTTCATCATTGTAATGAGAAGCACGAAGACCAGTGGTGCAACGTAAGTGAACAAGAACCCTAGAGAATAAACAAGATTGGCTTACCAACTCTGAGGAACGACACAAATTGGGAAACAGCAATAATCAAGAAGAACAAGTTGAAAAAGAACTTAAATTGGTTAATCAGCACAATTGGCACAAATGTGAGAATGTGGTATTTTTGGTTCCGAATCTTGTTGTTCACAAATGTCGCTGGCTCTGTGACTCCATTTAAGTGAAGATGTCTATCCTAGAAGAATTATGGGCTATACTTACGGGTTTTGGACGTCCGAATCCGAGGCATTTGAGGAGCTTTTTATAGCATCCTTGCTCCTTCTTCTCCTAAAGACTTTTAACTGCATATCCTTACTTCTTTATCACCCTATATATCATTTTTAGATATGAGTAAATTAGCAAAATTCTGCCCAAAAGGAAATGATGGGAATGATTAGGGAATACCAATGCTGTAATTAACCCAGAAAGGATGGTGAACTAACTTACCTCCAAATCTAGGAGAGGTTCTTTAGCTTCATCTCAGTCATATGATCTATCTTCTCCCTCTACATCTTCTTCAAAAGATTCAGAGTTGATCCTGTGATGATGGTATGCAAAATCTCTAGGGTATTCCTTCATTTCAACTATATTTTGTTCTGTTGATAAGACATGAATTTAATAAAAACAAAACCAAGATAAAATGCAAATATGAGACCATAAATCCTCAAGTCTACTGCCTCAGCACCCAATAAGATGAGGATCTAAAGAATCTGTGTATAAATTTTCCTTCACTCCTTTTCATAAAATTCAAAATCTTTAGCCAAACTCTGCTATAAACCCATTCATCCAGCACAGAGTATGGCTCGCTCCTCAAGAGTCAAGCTAAGTGATCCCCCTAATCTGCTAAGGTAGCAGGTTTATCTGGCTGCAAAACTGCATCTATGGACTAACCCTTACTGATCTTCGGATTAACACTCATTTTTATAAAGTATTACAATTATTTAACTTTATTAAGGGGTTTTGGGGTTTTGGGGTTTTGGGGTTTTGGGG